ACGCAGTTCCTCGAATTATTACGCAGTCCACAAAACTTCATCAAAGCTTGCTTCACGTTTACGTTTCTCGTTGATTTTCCGCAAATTTCCTGAATTTGTGCCGAATTTTCTGAACATGAGGTTTCATCGAAGCTCTGAAGATATAAAAAAAAGGTCCCAGAATAATAAAGAGGTTCCCTGCCATTTAACAATAAACTTCTAGGAAGATACCTAAACTTGTATAAAGTTCCCACTTCTACGAAGTTTTCTGAACTGTTCCATGATCTCAGAACTTCAAATAATTTCACTAAATTTAGCTCATGATTCATCTGAAATATGTTGGTTTTAATGCATAAAACAAAATATAATAATAATACCAAAGAAACATTCAAAATCAGGACAGTGTTCTAGTGAAAATAGTTAACGGAACATTAGAGTCATAAGTGTTACTAATCACATTAGCGACAGTATCAATAGCCTCATTCAGCCCATACTATCAACTACGAGCTGCGAGGTGTATGAAGCGTCGTTGTCTTATAACTTTTTCAGGTTCGTAGAAGAAGAGTTACCGAAGCAGTTTGATGAAACTCTAAGAAGTTCACTGAAGTTCGGTAAGCTTCTACAAAGTTAGCTGAACTTTAAAAAAAATCTGCACTTCAAGAAAGTTTCCTGAACTTTAAAAAAGTTCCCTGAAGTACCACGAAGTTTCTTGAAGAACTACAAAATTCCTTGCAACTCGGATAGCAGTTCGTACCCTGGTGTAGTGGCTGTAGGTGCATTGTCAGACAATAATATAATAATACATAACAGCAAAAAAGGTTATCTTTCATTTAATTCCACTTAATTAATTTTGGTATCCATGACAGATACGTATTTCGACTACAATGTGCAGTCTTCATCAGTGTCATTCCCACTTAAGAACTTATCAAAATCTAACCCCCTTAAGTACTCAGCTCTAGGTAATAAAGTCAAGATCATAGGTATAAAAATGAAACTACAATGTGTTTAATCGGAACCTACCTAACTAATAAAAACCAAATATTTAAGTAAGCTAAAGGAGAAAAATCTATACAACTCTCTAATAAGGAAAATCCCCAAAGACTTGGTAGCCATCATAATGAAGTAATGAAATTGGGTTGTTAGCGGAATGCTAAATAAAACAGCAAAAAAGGTTATCTTTCATTTAATTCCACTTAATTAATTTTGGTATCCATGACAGATACGTATTTCGACTACAATGTGCAGTCTTCATCAGTGTCATTCCCACTAAAGAACTTATCAAAATCTAACCCCCTTAAGTACTTTTTTACCTAGGGATGAGTACTTAAGGGGGTTAGATTTTGATAAGTTCTTTAGTGGGAATGACACTGATGAAGACTGCACATTGTAGTCGAAATACGTATCTGTCATGGATACCAAAATGAATTAAGTGGAATTGAATGGAAGATAACCTTTTTTGCTGTTTTATAGGAAATGGATTTAGATCTCAATTGTTATATTTGTTTAGTCCTTCGGCTCCGCAGAGTTTTCAAAGATATTGAACATTTTGGAAAACATGGTTTTCGATTCAGTGACAAGAGTGTGACAAATCTGTTGGATTCATCCCAAAATTTACAATCCAGTTTTCTTATTTCTCATCATATTTTCAGGTTGACTACTACTTGGGACGAACACACCATGCTTTTTGTCTAAATCTATTTGAACAGTTCTCAAATTTAAGTACATGTTTGAATTAACTAGTGATGTTGGCTACAGCTTGAAAGGCTGAAAATACTGACGGATGAAGTCACACGAATCAATTTCAACAACGAAGTTTTTTTAAAGGGCCCTCCGAACTATTGGTTCTCTGCCAGCTGCAAAATACCTATCAATTTGATCCACCAAGATCAATCGGATCCAAATCAGACTGATCAATATCCCAAAATTTGAGCTAATTTGGTGGCGAACTGATTCTGCACTGGCTCTTTGAAGTTTATATGGGAATTACTATAAGAAAAGTGTATTTTTTGCCATCATCGCTCTAGCCCTGCACCATAAAGATTTACGGAAAAGTTGTCCATCAGAGCCCCCCCCCCTCTTTCGTGAAAATTTCCCAGCTACAACTTTGTTGAAAACCCCTTTTTTAGTTGAATGTCAAGAAAGTTTGTTATTAATTAATTTCCAAGCTGATAACTTGCTGGTAGGATTAATCGGCTGTTTTCAGGACAACACTGCATCTTGCCCTTATGACATAATAGTCTCGATTTTTTGTCCTATTATTCCAATGTTGTCTGCCGAGTAGTGAATGAATCATGTCAGAAGAACATCATCTTCCTAATCAATTAATAACTAATTATCCTAACGTTCAATTTTTCAATTCCCACATAAACTTCAAAGGGTCAAGTGCAGTATGAGTTCGCATTATAATGAGAACAAATTTTGTGAGAATGATCAGGAGCTGATTTGAAATCGTTTGAACTTGGTGGAGCTAAATAAATATTTTGAACCATGAAAATTCCATACGCATGGATCGGTAACAAATAACCCCACCGGTAATTGGTTCGTAATCGTTTAACTCATCTTCCGCTTGAAATACTTCTATACAACCACAATCTCTCAACCCTCAAAAACTTAATACCAACTGATTGAAATCAATCAGTTGTATCAGCAACACGAGAATGTGACAGGACTACAACAGTTCTCTGCTGTTTTTTTTTATCACCAACCAGCCACTTTTAGCATGCACGCAAGACGTAGGTACGCTGCCGATCTCCCTGGAGCTCGCCGAGCTTAGCTCATTAGACACAGCACATGTGACACGAATGAGGCACGTAGGAACAAAAAAGAAACGCGAAATAATTCGTCTCGAAATGTACCAGGCACCTACGATCTTATAGAAAGCGTGTCTCTATCACGCGGGATGGATGCACGTGTACATTAACTCTGCCCTGATTCAACAATTTCGCTGCACAGTGCGAAAAATCGAAGATAATGGTCCATTGAGTGTACTGTAAATGCATTTTTCAACAGTTTATAAATAGAATAAAATACCCTGAAGAAAATTTTAAAATTAAATTGTTTGATTTCAAATGGCATGCTTTTGATTTTTATCCCAGGACTTATGTTACATATGTTATTCCACTAAGACGCCCACATTCATCAGGATTCAGCAAAGATGTTTTGGAATAACTTTTAGATTTTTTGAAGGCGCAAATTTTTGCGGCGAAGAGCTTGTCAAAATCTCTCGCCCATCAAGAGTTATTAACGTTTTTCTACTAAAAATATGTCCTTTTCAAATGTTAATATGTCTGCTTGGGACAAACAAAAAAAGCGAGGTATGTTATTTTTTAAACTCGTATAAAATCAATTTGAAATTATTCTCTATTTTTACTATAATTGGGTATATCTTTTTTATAAGAAGCGATATAGGCAACAACTTTTGCTATAAAACATTTGTCTTAAAGAGCGTTAAAAGTCGTTGCAATATGACTTTCAGGAGAAATTTGAAATAAAAAAGTTAGTGCTCAAATAACTATTTTTTTCCAGGAACACCCTAAGTCAACTCCGAAAAATTGCTCTAAAACGAGAACGTTAAGAAATAGAAAAAAAAAATATAATTTCGACGGATTTGCTAAGCATTTTTAAGCACAAAAACTTCTCCCAAGACACTTAATGTCCAAATATTGAAACAAATGTACTAGCACATTTTATATAAATTTGTCATTAGAGTGGTCCTATGCAAACCATCTTTTGCCGATAACTTTTTTAGTTCAAGTTTCTCATTAAAGTTATCTTCGAAAGACTTTAAAAACTCTTTAAGAGGCACGTTTTATAGCAAAAGTTGTTGTCTGTATCTCTGAATGATTTTATACGAGTTTAAAAATATAACATACCTTTAATTTGAATGCCGTAAAAAAAACTTTTCCAGAGATATTAACATTTGAAAACGGGATAATTTTAGTAGATAAACGTCAATAACTCTTGATAGGTGAAAGATATCGACAAGCTCTGTGCAGCAAGAATTTGCGCCTTCAAAAAATCTATAAGGTATTAGAAGACATCTTTGCTGAGAAATTTGAAAAAAAGAAAACTAGAGGAAAACAACTGTTTTTTTAGAGACACCCTACCTCAATTCAAGAAAATAGTTTTTTTTTTTCACAAAGTGGCTTGAAATTATCTCAGCTATAACTTTACCAAATAATGTATACATTAATTCCTTCAAATTAAAAAGTTTAATTTTTGATTTCAATGATAGTAAGAACCATCCTAGAATTGAATGAAAATAACTATAAGGAACAACTTTGTAGAATACAATTTTTGTCTAAAATTTCAATTTCAGGCCCAAAACGTATCCTTCCACCTAAATCAGCATTCTGGACCACTGAGCATTGCCATAAAAAAAATGTCATCCTTCATTCTATCATACATACATACTGCATTTAAAGGTTATTCACAAGAAATGCTCCTTAACACTAGGGAGTTAGTAAAACATCAAACCAACAATTTAATAAGGTACACACGGCAACCACGGGATTTCAGTTGAAAGGATAGACGGATGCAGCGAAAAAAGTCGAAGTTTCATTGTAGTGGCTGAACCGCCGTTCTTAGTGAGGCCAACATTTGTAAATATTTGTGCGGCCTGTCAACGAAAATCAACAAATTAAATCAAACGAGAAGTGAAATTATTGGCAGGAGAATGTACATTCAATTACGGGTCGGTTTCAGTGGGTAAATAAACAGAGAGCCAAAGGAAATTTTTAGAGTGTGAACCCAATTGAATTTAACTATGAACGTGTGGTGCAACTAAAGGAAGATACTTGGAAAACGAAAACAAGCCGCAATAGTTTGGTAGGTGCAAAGTGATTTTATGTAAATTATAGACTGACGTGACTTGCTACTACTTTCAACAACTAAAGAAACTAAAGCCAAAGGGGGGAAATGTGCATCTTGCGCACTCTAGCTAGAGATGAACAGTCAGGTGTAGCAAGTAAGAACGAAACCACTCTCACTGCCGTAGAATCTCACCGTTGGTCACGTGATACCTCATAAATCGTTTTCAGTATTCTCACCCGCTCGATCAAGCTTTCCGCCCGTCTGGCGAAAGAGGCTCGTCGTTCTTCAGCACTCATCGTCCGTCTGTCCAGGTGACACTATTGCCCGCTCACACAATGCAAACACTTAGTCGCTGCTAATCCAGGACTTTCAGTTTCACGCCCAACGAACGGTGTGTATACGAGTGACACTATATACTTCAGCTGACAACAGGTAATTAGATCCACGTTGAAACTTGCCACTTCCGACAACTATCTTCCAGCACTATTGCTTTAACTGCACTTGGCAAATATACACGCACAAGACCAACAGATGCTCTCCAATGCTTCTACACCCACGCGATGGCGATATGCACTTTAGCCTTTCTTCCGCACTACTTTAGGTCTTCTTGGATCAACACAACATCAGCTTTCCTTCTATATTAGCTTCACGGCACTTATTATTTCCTCCTTTTTGCTCAATTTACCCTGTTGAACAAACAATTTTCCTTGCACTTAATCTGTTTACCTTCTGCCAGTACACTAAATGGACGAGCACAATTATTCGGATCTCGTTTCGAATCGTGTCCGAAGCGCGTAGCCAATCAAGCAACGAATGTCCGACTAATACGACTTGAATCACTTTCCCTTCACCTCAATGTCCATGGGCGCGAAGTAATGATGCCACAAATTATCAACTACACCAAATTGCTTATCTCCGGCAGACTCGTCGTCGTCGTCGTTGGTCGGAGGGAGCCAGCTGATGGAGGTTTTCGTTTCATAATATTGAATTTTGACAGGCTTCATCTTTATCAATTCAATGCAGCCCGCTGACTGCCACCAGACATCACCGCCATGATAAGGGGCAATATCAGTCGGAGGTGATTTATTGATAAATAGAACCTGCCCGCATCGGGTAAACAAAAGATAAACGAGGCCACTGGGCCTAGCCTTTGTAACTACCGGGATCCACGGAAAGATTTCAAGAACGAATTTTATCTGTCATGGACAGTGGCTACATATTTGAGTGGCATTAGATTTACTGCAGAGGACTGATGATTGACTTTGAATGCTAATCCCTTCTGTCTCCGGAGGGGACAAATAAGAACTTGAGAGAGTGGAATATTTTGCATAAACATGTTTCGAATAAGGTGAGAAATGTCATCCTTTTTTTTAAATTATGATTATGCTACTCCCATTCCTTGTTTTACGTAGTCTTATTTTTCTTCTTTTTTTTCATCTCAAACTAAGAATGATGCAAATGGTGTTTGTTTTTCTCTGTTCGGGACCTGACGTCCCTGCGACCAGTAATTTGATCTATTGTAGTATATCTCGTGCCCTTAGCTTAATGCATGTCGTATTACTCCATCACTATTGAGAAATGATGAAGTATAGAGATTGCTGACGTTTATCGTACGCACACAATGTCACATATATGTATACGCAAAATGTTTTCATCAGGAAAAAAAACTTCATAGCGGAAATTTTTCCCGATGAAAACAAATCACTGACACAATCACAGTTTAGCAATCTCTGTTAGATTTTTTTTACAGTTGTCATCTTGCATTTATCGTAAGAATCCGACTATAATTGAAAGGTCTAACCCTTAGGAGTGTTAGAATACCTTCCAAAGGCGCGTTCCTTTGTCAGTCAAAATTGGATTCCTTAGCAACAAGAATCCACAAGAATGACACAGATAATGACCATTAGACTGATGCAAAATTTAAAATTTTCGCTCCACAGTGCTCAAACGTTTTAGCCTCCCAAAATTTAAACTCATTTGGTAAGAAACTGACTTGGCACAAACTATTCGAAGTTTATATGGAAATTACTATGGAAAAACCACGCTTTTTGCTCATTGTTTTCTACTCATTTTCCATATTGCTTTTTCGAAAAATTTTATAACTATTCTTACGGGAAATTTTCTAAGTTACAACATTGTGCAATATCGTTTTTCAGCCAAATGTTAAATTAAATTGTTATTAATTGTTTAAGAGATTGATAATCTTATGGCACGATCAAGCAGCTGTTCTGTGGGCAGCACTGTATTCTGTAGCGTGACATAGTAGCCATGATATTTGTGCTCTATTCTTCGCACCAGAAACACCCATGTTGCCTGATGAACAGTTGCAATGAGCATAATCATAAGACATCAGTGCCTTGAATCATTAATAACTTTTGTTCCTTACATTTGATTGAAAAGTGGTTTTGAACAAACTTGTAGCTGAGAAAATTTGCTACAATCACTGCTATCATTTTCAAAAGCATAGTGATGTGGTGAATTGTTAGATAGATATGAACAAAAACATAAGCTTTCCCATAGTAATTCCCATATACTCTTGAAATGGTTTGTGCCAAGTCAGTTTCTTACTAAAGTTGTTGGGAGGCTACGCAGGACCCAATTTGGAACCGTTTGGGCACTGTGGAGCGAAAATTTCAAATTTTGTATCAGCCTAATGACCATGCATCAGAACCCTAGTCTTAACCACTTCAACCTAGGAAACAACGAATAGAAGATTAGGAATCACATAGATGAAGACTAGCTAATTCTTTTTTTCCTTGTTTCAAGATCATCCTCGGTGTACAAAGCTGAGTCTTGTTACTATAAACAAGGCATAAAAAGTAACAAGGACTAAGATATGTTCCTTTGATTACTAAACAATCCTGTTCCCCTAATTTAAAATAGTCATGACTATGAATCGGTGGTAGATCTTACATCCCGTAACCTACCACGAAAAGGAGATCTACCTACGTTACGGGGTGATGCAATTGGTGTTCAAAACAAAATCTAAGAAAAATATAGCGCATAGGGGAAATGGATATTATGTCGGCCTAAATGCCCCTAATTTGGGCCCATACATAAATTCAGCAATCGACTAAATTTTCAATAGCGACCAAAAATATCCATTAGTACCGTCCCAATGACGCGTTTATCTAGATAAAATTGAAAAATAGCAGATTTATTTCCCCTACATAAATTATCTAACTTCACCACAGAAAAAGAAAATTGAAAAAAATGTATCCGTAATAAAAGGGCTGGTTGTACTGAGAAACCTATTTTGTGCTTCGATCCTTTAGACTAAACCCAAGCAACACAATTTGTCATAAACGGGTTTACATAACTTATTTATGACAATATCAGCGGTAAAACATTACGTCTAGTCACTTATATACAACTTATTTATACCGAAAAAAGCGCAAGAGGTGGGAACTAAATATAACATATGTTTGACTTGCGCAACTTATTTATGACTATAACGCAACCTACTGTATTGGACATGTTGTAAATTAATTTCATCCTTCCTACGAATGGAATTTGTTTATCATCAATTAACAGAACTTATTCTTCTGAGGAATTTTATCGTGCGAATAAAGTTCCTAAACTGAGATTCTGTACTGCAAACATTTATGCGGTTGTAAATTTAAGCTAAATCTTTACATTCTACTTCTAAATAACTCATTGGCTCTTAAAAAAAAGCTCAATATAACAAATTGAATGGCTTAAAAAATCCTGGATAAAATTCCCCAACTTTGCAAAAAACAAAAACAAATAGAATATGAACTTTCTTTTTTAATTATCTAACTTTTCTCTTTTACAAAACGTACATGTAATATTGAAAGCACAAATTAAAAGTTTTTTTCATTCTGTACATTGCTTCATTGGTCAGCCATATTGTAGTGCAATTTATAGAATGCATTGAGAAATTTCATAATTGTTATCAAAACATGTTTATAACACGAAAAACAAAAACATTACTTGTATCGTACATTGAAGTTATAATTAGGCATGGCAACTCTCAATTGCTTATTTATAACACTTTTATAACTGATTGTTTTTGATGAAAACTTGCAAGCCTTATATACAACATGTTTTCATATGTCATTTTTTAGAAACATGAGTACAACTGAAATATAACTTATTAATAACATGTTATAAATAAGTTATATCTCAGATGTATTCTTGTTTCTAATAATGACATATGAAAACATGTTGTACATAAGGCTAGCCAGTTTTCACCAAATACAATCAGTTATAAATGAGTTATAAACTGGTAATTAAGACACGCAATATCGAATTATAACTTCAAGATAACAAGTGCTTGTCAGAAAGGTTGAATACTCCACAAACAACAATACAACGCGTCCAAAACAGGATGTTTTAAAAGCAATTAATTTATAACTTATTTACAACTGGATTTTTTTATTTTTCATGCAAGATGTTGCAAGTGTTAGTTGGGAATGTCCTTAAGCGAAATGAGGACTCCAATTCTAGAGCGCTAAATATAAAATCAAATCAAAGGCAACATGACAGGTCCGGTCACCCGCCCTTGATAATTTGGGAACAAAGGCAAACTTTCAGAGCATACAGTTGCTACATACCAACCAAACGGCTAATACATCAAATCTCGATGAACATTTCAAATAGTCCTATCTGCTTTGATCGATTCTCTTCATCGACTTTCTCTTTTCATAACCACTGCTATGCAAACAGATTTCGCGTTAATTCTATCACATAGTTTGATAAAGGAGGTTCTTATCTAGCGTCCAAAACGTCAAATATAACAGGGAAAGGTTTTGCAGCTGAGTTATTGACGAAAGAGAAAGTCGATGAAGAGAATCGATCAAAGCAGATAGGACCATTTGAAATGTTCATCGAGAAATGGGTAGCTTACATTCCTTGAATATACTTGTTACAAAAGAAACCGTGTTAGAACTAACAATCAACTTATGAAAATATAAAATATCAATGATAATAAATTATCAGAGTCACTAAAGAGAATTGGAATGCATGCGGTGATTTATTAAAAATATACGAAAGCTTCTCATTCTAATAAAAATAATGTATTGGAAATTGATCACGAATCCAACTATCAATTGAAACACTTATTTTATGGAATGAAAAAAAAAAATACTTTTCAACAACGATTTTGTTGTTTTCATGTTTGTTTGAAGATGCGAACTTCTAAACGGTATAAATGACTGTTTGGTTGCCAATAGGACATTGACAAAAAATGCTTTACTTCTGGAGACACATGAGGCATATATTAGGGACACCTACAACTGAATGTAACATAGATTTTAAGGTATGCTTCAGTACTTGCTTTTCTGTAAGATTCTGTACAGCAAAAATCAAAAGCATTATTTTCCCACAGCAACTTAACAGAAAGCTGGAGCAAAAAAGCAAGTACGGGAACAGACCTTTTATCTTCCCGTCAAAATTAATTAATTCACAACCACTGAACACTAATAACACCAAACCAGATTGACTAAAAATAAAACGAAGGAGAAGAATAACCTAATTCAATCAGCAATCTTCTTTCAACACTGAACCGGTAGCTATCATTGGCTAATATTGAAGAGCTTCCGAACCGAACCGTTCCAATGACGCAATCGAACTGACCTTGCACAAGGCAAATCACAATGGCGGAAGCGTCGGTGTGATGTTGATGCACCCTCTTCCCAAAATCGAATTTCCAATTAGAAATCCGAAAACATCTGCTCGTCACATGCATTGCGATCTATTCTCCATTTCCCCCTTCTCGTCCTTGTGTCCCTAATTCTCTTCGTGGCGGTTTTGGTATTTCCCTTTCTTTTGATCCGGTTTTTAAAAATAAAATAGACTCCGTGTGCAATCATCAATGGTTAGGGTTAGTGGTGTTCATTCATGAAATCATGGTATGCGTTATTAAGGTGAAAAACTAAACACATAGAAATAAAAATAAGGATTGAAACGTCGGAGTAAGAAAGCATCAAAGTGCTTTCACATT